GAGAAAATCCCATGGTAGACATCTCCGGGATCACGGCTGAATTTATGCAGGAGCATCTGGATTGGTTTCTTGATGAAAATGCCACACAGATCCAGGTGTGCTAATGTGTGTGTGTCTCGTCAGATCCTGGCATAACGTGTACTGCGTCATCAACAACCACGAGATGGGCTTCTACAAAGACAACAAGAGCGCGGCGCAGGGCGTCCCGTACCACAGCGAGATCCCCATCAGCCTGAAGGATGCCGTCTGCGAGGTGGCCGTCGACTACAAGAAGAAGAAGCACGTCTTCAAGCTCAGGTGAGCAGCAGATCCCAGCTGCAGTCATGTGATTGCTGTTTAATGATGTTGTTCTGCTGTGACTGAAGCTGCTGTTTCTCCTCACAGAGTTACTGATGGAAACGAGTTTCTCTTCCAAGCCAAAGATGATGTAAGTCTGCTTTTATCATCAGAAATGAGCAAACATTTGCAGTTCATGCTTCACTTGGTTCACATGGTTCAAGCTTTGAAACCTTCATATGAGAAAACAGACTGAAAAGAATCCATTAACTTTACATTATTCGATTTTATAATCAAATATGTAATTAATCTGCACTTTGCAGCAACTGATCTTAGAGAGATAGATAGACAGACAGACGGAATGATAAACTGTGCTTTTGTTTTAAATTGTGGATTATTTACTGCTAATTTTTTTATTTTTTTTATTATTGTTTTATTTGCAACAGTCATAATTGTTCAGCTAAATATTGTTAACTAAAACTATTAAGAATAGTTTTTGGTGATTTAATAAATCTGAAATAAAAATATTAAACAAACAACATTAAAAAAGCACTAACTGAAATAAGTTTAAGTTCTAAAATTAATAAAACTAAAACTGAAGTAATTGATAGTAAATAGAATAAATGAAATCAAAATAAAGCTATATAGAAATATAAAACAAATAAAATGGCAGTCACATTATAAAATTGCTGAAAGTTAAACTAAATAAATAGAATTCATTAAAAAGAACAATAAAAGTATATAGAAATGTATTTTTTAAAGATGTCAAAATCACATTCCAAAATTACTAAAAGATCAACTGAAATAAATTAATAAGGTGAATAGAACAAAGTAAAGCTATAGAAATACTTTGAAAAATCACATTCCAAAATTACTGAAAATTAAACTAAAATATTGTAAACATAAAAAGTCACTCAACATATAAATAACCCTTAGAATAACACTCAGATCGTTATTCAGTTTAGTTGAATAACAATTAATTCAATTGAAGTATTTGACAAAAATTATTTTTATATGGCTTGAGAAAAAAGTACTCGATAAAGATGGTCCAGAAAATCAATCTATCTTTTACAAGAAAATTCAATTTCAGTTGTTCTACTTTAAAATTTCAACTTTAATTTAATGTTACTTGCCATGTCTTTGTAATTTTTTAAGAAATTTTTTACACACTTTTCCCCCAATGTATATGGGATTAATATCAATAAGTAAATTCCTGATGCCTGCAGCATTGTATGACACAAATATCCACTCATAAAAATCAAGATTCCAAAAGGGGTTTTTGCAGCAATGCCATAGAACAGTGGTTCCCAATCCTGGTCCTGGAGAACCCC